CTCAGCTGCCGGCTGTTGCACTACTCAGGAATGACACAGCTTTGGCAATCAGTTCCTTTGACAGGCCAACCCAAGAAACTGGCCAACTCTGAGTATCTTGTGAGGAACAGGGAATCATGATAATTGTTCTTCAGCAAACTTCAATTCGGGTTAAGTTTGTATTTTCTGTAACCTATTGAATCAAAAACTGTTTGTTCAAATCTTTGTCATGCAATCCTAAGCTAATGATCAGAAAAATACTTCTGACAACAGTGGGGAGGACGACTAACTCTAATAATTTTCTGTCTCCTGTAGCGGTGCAATACTTTCCCAGTGAGTATCCGGATTATCCAGTGCATCAGTGTTCCTTTTCTATTTTGCTGATTTTGGAAATCAACCACCCTCCTTGCCTCGCTGCTATCTGCCTGCGGTGGGGGTAAGAACTTGAGAACTGTACCAGAAGATTGCACATCTGCAGTTCCTGATTGAAACCCCATAGTCGGCGTGGGCCCAAATAACATGCTAAGCGATTGGGAAAAACTAAGACAAAATGGACCAACCAAGTATGGCAAACCTGATTCCACAACATGTCTGCGGTAGCATGGCCCTTTTGATCTTTGGCATACGCTTTTGACCCTGGCCCTCTTTGGCATGCTTTGTGGAAAATTCTTTGGTGAAACTGACACCACAAACAGCTGGTCTTGACATGTTGATGAGGTCTGATCTCTTGAACCAGTCTTCCATATTTTGAATTAACTCTAAACACAAAGCAGCCTCAGCATCACTCTCAACATGGCCCAAAACTGCCAAGTCTAAGCAATCACTGCGGTGGAAGGAATGACAGTTGAACGAGGTGCAACAACGAATCATTGCGTAGTTTAAAACAATTTGATTCCTTTGATGTTTCCTTTCACCTGAAGTCAGCTGGATTTCGCTGACGCCCTCTATTGCAAACTGGAGGTCACATCCATGAGCTCTTGCATCAGGTTTGCCAGATCTTCCTTGGCCAAAGATTCTTGGCGGCCAATGGGCCAAGGTTGATGACATATATATATATATTTAATATATATATATGACATATATATATATTTATTTATTTAACCAGTAAAATATTAATCAAATAGTATAGCAAAACATCAAATCTACTCGGGGATAAGTCAAATGATCAAATCATAAACCATGTTTTTCACCAGTTGCACCTCAAAGCTTGCGATTTTCCTCATTGACCCACCTTGTAGGAACCTATCTCTACGAGAACCAGGGAGTAAGCAGCGCACTTAATCGGACATCGTTGGTGGGCTTAATGTGTGAATGGGACTGGATCTACAATTACACCGGCAAGAGACCCCAAAAGTGTGGGGTTAGGAAGTCACTGGACCAGATGCAAGCAACAGTAGCCATGGAACAGTAGCATTGAAGTCGAGGCGGTCAGGTAGAATCTACCTTTCTGTAAAACATTAAAAATGCAACAAATATACGAAAAAAATACAACCCCTAAATGCAACTATTTTGTGTGTTTTGACGTCCCTAACTTAGAGTCTACCAGAAAAAAAGGAACCAGGCAATGGATATAAAGTTTTTCCTCACCATTAAGATTCCCCAGCACGCAAGAATTGAATAGCCATTGACTTTTCAAAGCGCCAAAACCAATATGGGAATTACAAAGCTAGCCACACAAGTTGGCACACATCTCAGCCATCCACGCATGTGCTTCCCTCCGTCCGAACAGTTTTCTGCGGACATTTCCATTCTGACTGAAAGCATTCTCACACTAATTACAATCTACTTGTATGGGGCCCTGGCTGCTGCTTTCTTCAAGATCTTACTTTGGGCAAATTTCCCATGTTGCGTCTAGGATATGGAACGACGTACAGCTGAGTCCTTTGCAGCTGGCTTGGTGGTGGTACGCCGATGTTTTTTGCAAGGTGGCGTTTGGAACCTATAGTTGCTGTGGTAGTTGTAGTTGTGGCCGTGCAGGTGCAAAACCCCAGGCGTGCTGATGCTGTGGCACGTTGTTTGCGCATTAATCTATATATATGTATATATGAAGTACACTGCTGCGTTCGCGCTTGGCACGAGTCTTCCAGCGAGAATCGTCAATCACAAACTCCCCCACCTGAGCTTGGCAAAGCACACAGCTGGGAAAGCGAATGGCTTCCAACGATGGGTTCACACGCCGGATTCCTAAAAATGCAACCCGGGACGTCGCCGAGCATGCTGGCGCAAAAAAAAAGCAATGGAAACCAATGTGTTTTTCCCGTTGCATTTTTTTTGCAACTTGAAGCTCAAAGTGTAAAAAAAATAGGGAAAAAAAAACGAAAAAAATGCAAAATAAATGCAAAAGTGCAAACTGAAATGCAACCGGAATTGCAACAATCTAATGACGCAGATACGTCTTGCAAAAAAAATGCAACGCTGGGATCGCCAATCTTCCCGTTGCAAAAAAAATGCAATTGGGACACGGGATTGCAAAAAAAAAACGAAGCAACCACCAAATTGCAAAAAAAAAGCGATAGGACAGACAAAGTGCAAAAAAAAAACGATGTGACCGGCAAAGTGTAAAAAAAAGCGATGGAACGGGCAAAGTGCAAAAAAAATGCAATGTGACAGACACATTGCAAAAAAAAAGCGATGTGACCGGCAAAGTGTAAAAAAAAGCGATGGGACGGGCAAAGTGCAAAAAAAAAGCGATGGAACGGGCAAAGTGCAAAAAAAATGCAACTGGGCAATTAGTTGTGCCTCGCATTTGGGAAAGGCAGCCAACAGGATGAAACCACAAAATCACGACTAGCAGCACTTTGTGTGTGTGGATCTGCATACTCCTCTGCTTCTGAAGCAATGATCAGGACAGCACGACGTGTCCAATACCCAGTATTTTTAACATGCCAACACAAAACACCACAGATGCATGACTGACATGTATTTTTTTGTTCGTTGTGAGAAAAAGAAAAGAAAGGCACCCATTTAAAAAAATGGAAGCCCATTTAATCAGTTGTGCTCGCAGGGCCAGCTTACCGACGCAGTTGGAATTGAACCTGCGTTAAAAAAAAGGAAAATGAAAGTTGCATTTTTCTAGTTGTTTTTAATTTACAATTGTATTTTGAGGTTACATTTTTTTTCGTATTTATGTTGTATTTTTAATTCCTGTCAAGGCACATAGTCTGTACCTGGTGCCACGACTTCAACAGTAGCAGATCAGGTTAAGCATTGTCGCAACTGCAGCAGCAGGACCTGCTATATAGATCTATAATGATCTATGTAGTTTGTAGAAGAGTTCACAAGATCTTCATACAAGAACTTCCTATGAGTTATGAGCATCCCAGAAGAACTTCAGGCAAACATCAATGCAGAGGAGTTCCAAGATCTTAATGCAAGCACCTCTTGAGGTCTCACAAGGACTTGTACGAGATCATGTAAGGACACCTAGAGGATTTCACCAGGACCTCTTCAAGAGCTTCTCACAAGGAGCTGTACAAGATCAGGCAAAGGCCCCTGACAGCATGTCACTAGGATTCTCACCAGGACGTGTAAAAGACCTTGACATGACCTTGACCAAGGTCTTCATGCCAGGCCCCCTAAGAGAAGCTCACAAGACCGTCAAAGAAGGACCTGCTTCTTCTAGAGCGGATCTTACAAGATCTTGATGCAAGAATCTCCCAAGAGCCTCCCACAAGAGCTTTATCTTTCATACAAACACCTCTAATACATGGCATCTGTAAGATCTTCATGCAAGGGCCTCTTAGAGAAGATCTCACCAGGATCTCCACAAGATCTTCTGTTAAGGACTTGTACAGGATCACGCAAGGACCTCTTAGAAGATGCCAGCAGGATTTTCACAAGATATTCTCATAAGGGCATGCGCAAGATCCTGCAAGGACCTCTTAGAGGTTGTCAGCAGGATCTTCACAAGAGCTTCTCTTACGGACCTGTGCGAGGGCATGTAAGGACCTCTGACAGGATTTCATCAGATCTTCACAATATCTTCGCACAAGGACCTCTACAAGGCCTTGGTTGAGATCTTCGTATATTACGGACCTCTAAGACTCCACCATGAAACTCTTGCAAGATCGTCTAAGACTTGCACTGTCGCAATGCGCATAGACATCATCTTACAAGCGTAATTTTATGCGAGACTTGACAAAGAAAAAAGGCCGTGACCCAGAACTTAGGCGCACGCTTTGTGCGAGCCTGCGAAATCGAAACGCACATGGGCGTCTGACAAGAGCAATTTTACGCAAGAATTTAAAGGAAAAGAGCCGCGCCCCAAAACTTAATGAACTTAGGCCTACGTTTTGTGCGAGCCTGTGCAGTCGAAATGCACGCGGACATCTCGCAATTTTTTGCAAGACTTTACAGGAAAAATGCTGCGCCCCAGAACCTAGGCCAACGTTTTGTGCGAGCCTGTGCAGTTGAAATGCACATGGACATCTCACAAGAGCAATTGTATGCGAGAATTCACAGGAAAAAGGCCGGAGATCAGAGAGCGTACCCTGATCTACAGTAACCCCGGCCTCAACACTTACCGGATAAACCCCTCAGTCTGGACACACTGTTTGGGAAAAAACATGAAAAAACATGATGAGGAAAATTTGAGGCGGCATGTTTTTCCCTGCATTTCAGAGAGTCAAATAGTCTTATGGCATCTCAACTGTATCCGCCAGGGACTGCTGCACCATGCTACACCCCAAACCCACCACAGCTCTTCTCTTCGAGTGTCGCTGCATTTTGCAAAATCTGGACTGTTCTGCAACTGCAACTCGTTTATGGAAATGGCCTGCAATCTGTATTGCAGGCTATGTCACTCATGTACAAGATGAGGCCATGATGACCTCAGCCAATGAACAATTCCCCAATGTTGAATAATTAACATAGTGTTCTGTAAATACCCTCTGGTCATGTAACATAGCTATGGAAAATCATCGTGTTTGAAATGTTTAATAGGTACATCATTTATACCTGGGCCATGTTCATCCATTTTCCATAGCTATATTCAATTACCAATTGTAAGCGGGTTGTCCATTCTAAGCACTACCACAGGCGACCAGAGAGGCCTCCTCCACATCCTCCGGGTGCAGATCCAAATTCGACACCTCCAAATAACTCAAGAGCTCCGCAGTGGCTTCCAGCAACTGGCAAAGCCATGGAGCAAGTCGTTTTTGAGGTCTCCAAACATATCCAAACATGTAGTCGAAGGAAGTTTAGAAGTCAAACTTCCGACAATATGGAGAGATGAAAAGCAGAGCAGGGAAGAGGCAGAGAGAAGAGAAAGATTAGAAGAGAGAAGATCAGAAGAGAAAGAGTCAGAAGAAAGAAGATGCAGATGCGCGAAAAGGTAGGAAAGTCGCGAAACACTGTGTTTTTCCCATGATTTGTGGCTCCGGAGGGTCGAAAAGTAGGCTCGCTAAAGCGGCGGGTGCGGAGCCAGCTGGCCAGATGAGAGATGAAAAAGTGCACGCCGTTGTGGCGCGAAGCACATTTGCAAGGCAAAATGTACAAACCACACCATGGTCGGACCACTTTTGGAAGTTGCGATGTCGAAAAAGTGCACGCCGTTGTGGCGCGAAGCACATTTGGAAGTCAAAAGTGTTAAAAACTGGCGGTCTCGGAGCAGTTTTGGAAGTTGAGATGTTGAAAAAGTGCATGGCGTTGTGGCGCGAAGCACATTTGGAAGTAAAAAGTGTTAAAAACTGAGGGTCTCGGAGCACTTTTGGAAGTTGAGATGTCGAAAAAGTGCACTCCGTTGTGGCGCGAAGCACATTTGCAAGTCAAAATGTACAAAACACTAGGGGTTCGGACCACTTTTGGAGGTTCAGATGTCGCTTCGCCGCTTCGCTTCACTACACTACACTACGTTACATTACACCACACTCCACTATACTACACTACATTACACTACACTACACTCCACAACACTACAACTACAACTACACAACTAGAGTACACTCCACTACACTCCACTAAATTAAATTTCACTACACTACATTACACTACACTACGCTCCACTACACTACATTACACTACACTATGCTCCACTACACTACACTACATTAAATTACACTACACTCCACTACACTACATTACACTACACTACGCTCCACAACACTACAACTACAACTACACAACTACACTCCACTACACTCCACTACACTAAATTACACTACACTACACTACATTACCCTACACTACACTCCACTACGCTACACTACACTCCACTACACTACACTACATTACACTACACTACCTTCCACTACACTTCACTACATTACACTACACTCCACTACACTACAGCTACAACTACGACTACACAACTACACGCCACTACACGAAATTGCACTACACTACACTGCATTACACTACACTACATTACATTCCAGTGCACTCCACTACACTACACTACATTACACTACACTACAATACACTGACAGATAGACAGATAGATAGATAGATAGATAGGGTAATTAGATGAGAGAGAGATAGATAGATAGATAGATAGATAGATAGATACATAGAAAATAGATAGGTAGGTAGGTAGATAGTCAGACAAAGAGATAGAAAGAGTGAGAGAGATCAAGCACCTTTCAGTCCATCAGTGGCTTCGCTCTGCCATCCCTGATTCACAACAACCAACCTCTCCTATAGGTTTCCTATTTTTGAAACTTCCGCCACCGCCTTGTGCGGTACTACTGGTAGTGTCTCTGAAAATGAGGACCCCCCAATAAGCCATTTTCATGGGGGAAACTTATGACATCTTATGACAATCGGAATTTGACACGATTTTCAGACAAACCCCAATTGGGAACCATCCAAGTTAGGTGGTGAATATCCACTGAACAGCCAGCCAAAATTTGGTATGAAAATGTATGAAAGGCCTGCGTATGGGTCTGTCACAAGATTGGGACACCCCCATAAATTGCAATTCTAATGGGAAGTCTGATGATTGATCATGAGATTTAAGGGGGTCATGTTTCACAAATGATGATGGGATAATTCATGAGATCCATGTTGCGATATGTTGCGCCTGAAGGTCCAGCAGATGCAGCTCCTGGGGAGTCATCTGCCGAAGCTCTTTCAACATCTTCTGGATCACCAGAACCATGGCCTCTGCAGGACACTTCCACATCTTCCACGATTGAAATGGACATAAATTGACCAAGTAAAAAAGGTGGACACATGTGGTGGTTTCCATAAATTTTAATTTGGTGGTACCCCAAAATAAATGAATGGTTTGCAATGGAAAACCCTTGTCAAATGGATGATTTAGGGGTACCCCAATTTCAGGAAACCTCCATGTGGAAAATGGTGAAAACCTGACAATTTTCATGGGGCCAAAAACGCATCCCAAGTTCTGGACACTCTCAGTATATCCGATATTTTTTTTGGGAAACTTTGTCACAAAGGCTGCTGTGATGGAGCTCAAAGTGCTCTGCCTGCCTCATGACTTTGCACAATCCTGGGTGCGCGGATGGCTTACCGTCTTGCTTTCCTGTCTGTCCGCGCAGAACTATAGTAACTATACGATACTATACGTATATCTGGGGCTCAACCTTCCGAATCAAACAATAACGGTGTACCCTGCTTCAGTATCCAAAAGCTCGTGGGAATTCCAATATATCGGGTGAAACAACATAAAGCAAGTGCACAGGAGTTGGTGTCCAACAGTCGCACTAGCTTGAGTCTCAAACAACGTCCATCTTCATGATGAGAAAATAATGTAGGTACCCCGAAGCAAAGTGGGCAAAAGGTGCCCCTGTCATTGCCATATTAACATGATAATTATCTGTCACCAAAGGTTTGACATCCCATCTTTAAAATCGGTAGGTCCCAGGAAAAAAGAATCGCTAGCAAAACTCACATGTCTTGTCGCGTTTTTTGATTCTTTCGGTTCCGGAAAAAAACAACAACATAACAAACAATCAGAAACATGATCGTTATTCATGACCTTGGCTCTTTAGCCAAACCTATTGTAGAAACTTCTGACCATTGTAAGTTCACTAAAAAATGTTGGGCAAACATATTCACCATCCCCAAAGGATTGTAGATTGTAGATGAGTGTAAATTATTGTAGATTTACTATGGTTTACTGTAGATTCACTTTAAATAGATGATTTACTATGATTTACTATGATTTACTATGGTTTACTATTGATGGTTTACTGTCATCACATGTCATCACCATTTTCATGGCCGTCCAAGGTACTGCTGAACGCTCATTCGTCGCGCACGGGACCGGTCTCCTCGTCCTGACGCGGTGAGCTTCGGACCGTCATGGGATGTAATGTGATGTAATATGGATAGGGATTTGATGGGGATTTCATGGGGATATTTATTGTAGTGTGATATATCATACTACAATATAGATAGATAATCAGATAATAGTGGATCATAATCGCTTATCATCTCATTTTAACTATAGTACTAATATATATATATATATTATATATATAGTAATCATCCTTTGTAGCTTCAAGCGCCAGATTTGACACTTCCAGACCTGGGCAGTCCTGGAGGATGCATCATTCGCTGCACACCCTGGACGACATCGAAATCATCCTGCAGGGATGTCATCTGTCAGATCTCCCAAGTATCAGATCACCAACTAAGTGGGATGTAGTGGGTCAACATGCCAGTGGTCCCAGTGGTCTAGATTGGCAATGTCTTTTTCAATGACAAAAAAATGCGGGAAATGAACAGAAATGAAAAGGAATGCTAGTGGCTACCTAGTCTGGGATGTCTGGGAATGTCTGAACCAACTTTTGGGAGTCCCAACTTGGGATCTCAATTTGAGCGAGCTTAAGGTTTGCTCTTTGAAACTGGCAAATGTTGATCAAACATTCACAACATGCCACGTCGTAAATGAACTCGAAAGAGTGGTTTTATGGCTTTGCACCTCTTCATTGCAAGATATCACAAGTATCAAAGAGTTGAGTTGACATCTAAGCTTGTAGGTAGCAGGATCATTCGTTCAAAAAAATCACATTGTAGAGACATGAACAACAGGGCACTGAACCACTGCCGCTCCTAGTATTGAAGATTGGACTCCATTGAGCTTTGAAATCATGCTGATCATTGCTGACCCTAGATTGATCAATAAAAACGCACGGTCCCTTATGAATCTTCTGAACCAAGAACAAGTACCCTCTGGTAAACTAACATAGCTATGGAACTCACCATCTTTAATAGGTAAATCAACTATTTCTATGGGCCATTTTCAATAGCGAACTTTAACAAATTGCCAGAGGGTAGTAATATCAATACCCATAGGATTCCGTCAATGCAAAGGTCCCCGTAGCATCGCCGACATCGCCTGAAAGCTCCCCAAGAGCTGGTGAAAGGAATCCGTTGTCAGACCATAGTCCTGCGAAGAGTTTTTTTCCCCACGGATTTTGATGTCCTGAGGAGTCCTGATTCAACTTATTTCTGGGATAATGTAGGATAATGTGCGTAAAACAATGTCATAAACCAACGGTTGATGCTTATTAATCATGATTAATTGTGGTTAATGGTTATTACAATAATGATTACTATGGGTAAAACAATGTCATAAACCACCCGTTTGGAAATGGTTTATAACACCTATTTATGGCGATTTCGGGGATGGTTTCTTATTGTTTTACCCACATTACATTATATGTTCACTACACATTCCAGCTGACAGTTGTCAGAGTATCCATCCAACAGAGATCAACAGCTTAATGTTGAAACTACCCAACGACATATGCACCGTCGTACGTGCAACCTTCCTAGCTTCGGTGCTAAGTTCACACTGGATTCAGTGGTGATCGGTTATTCGGGGATTGGTCATTCTCAGTTGTCAAGATACTTCAAGATACGTCTCTAAAATAAAGCTGGAGGAGCTTGACCTTGCAATACATGGTGATTTGCGTGTGCAGTCCAAGCATATAGCGCTTGTCATGATATCTAACAGGTAGACCTGTTTAGCTCCAAATACCTTTGCAACAGGTCCGTTTTCTTGAACTCCACCGTTTGCAATCCGAGTCCTTCAATGGATCCTTGGGCAAACCAAGTTGCCTAATGAGCCTGGGTTTTGGTTGACTGAGGACAAAATGCAGTTTTGTGGAATCAACAAAAACTTTAAAATCAGATCGAATACCCCTCCTGCAACATGCAGGCTTCTCTTACTTTCAGCCTCTCAAAATTGCCGGTAGGTTGCAAATAAAACTTGCGAAAGAAAGAAGAAAGAACGTAGCATGTTGCGTACCTCTGTCGAAAGATGTAAAACTTGCACTTGGATCTTGCTGCTTAGGTGCTCATGAGCTTCAAGGAAACTTAATTTGTCCTTCTCCCTGCGCAAAGAAGCGTAGCAATTGGATATACGCATATATACGCCATGAAGGGTATGGCCGAGGCACAAACCACAACATATTGAATCTGATGCAATTTGTTCCAATACATAATGAAGTCTTTTTGCATCCAATCCAGGGGATGTGACTTGGCTTGGACAATCCTTCCAGTTGGTGCCTCTCTTTCAGGTGCGCCTGCCCCACAGTGCTAACAGCCTGACGGCTGGTGGGGGGCGTTTAATGATCAGCTGGTAACCCGTGGGGGGGAGGGGTTCGGTACAAAATCACCGGTTGAATATGGTTCAATGGTTCATCATGGTTCATCTTCGCAAAGCCCCGGATGGTTCTTAAAGGTATTCTTGGAATGACAGTTTCAAAAGTGTTCCGTAGTGCAACTAGGAAGAATACATCTTCAACTCAAGCAAACTTTGAACTGTTTTGGAGGAACTGGCAATCAGTGCCACAGCACTACAACTTCTCAACCTGAAGAGGCGGTTCGAAACTGCACTGAATTACTGGTTGGTTTTTTGCATTGAGCTATGCACCGTCCCGTTGCTCCTCAAGCTTCATGATTTCTGCATCCCCATCCCTGACATCCACATCCCTGAAAATTGGGTACCCCAAAAATCTGGTGTCGATTGAGCCCCCCTGCATCTCCAGTATGGCGTTTGTCTGATATTTTGAGGATTTGTGGGCCCATTTTCAGATGATTCATATTGTGGGCCCACTAAAATCCCCAGTAAATCTCCCCATTGCCCCATTGATGGTTGATTGCAGCCACACCTCCTGCACGGACTGTTGCACTCTCGTCACATCTGCCAGCACTGCCAAGACTTCACCCTGCCCAGAGATGTTTTGAGGTCACAACAAACTGGGTTTGACAAGTCTTCTCAAGGAGGAAAACAATGATTTTGATCCTGTAAATCCCTTGTTGGGAAATATCATATCCAAACCATGTTCAACTTTCGATGGGGATGTCCAGACAAAATCAGTGGAAAGACGCACCCATTTTTTGGCTGCTATATATCTGGGTAAATTACAATAATTCACTAACCTGAAATAAGGCCATTTGGGGATGATTCCCCTTACTAACCATGATTCCAGTGAGGTCGCAGTGAGGTCGTTAGAATTTACCAAGATATATGTATATATACACGTAACATATTACGTAAGTATAATTGTCAACACGCTATGTGCATCTCGGTTGTGGCCTTCGTCCAAGTGTCGTCAACGTCCTGGACAGTCGCTGAAAAACAATGGCAGCTGAAGAGGATACACTGGGTTCAAGGTGTGACTGGCATCCGGCCAACGCGTTGTCCAGGCCTTTCGCAAGGCGCGTCGTGCTTGCAACCAAGCAAGCTTGGCTTCCTGGAGCGTCGGTTCCAATGAGAAGGCCTCAGCCGCCATCTTGATCCGATCAAGCTGTTGGCTAGGATGATGAGAGGTAATTAAACATGAAATGGCAGGACATAGTGTTTAAATGTATATAATAAACATCAACAAACATTGAAGATAAAACATCTTGACCAAATGGATGACTAACGAAACATTTTCTCAATTGAAGGGAATCGTCCGATACCCCATTCATCGATTTCCCCATCAAGAATAGAACATCTCTGTATATCCGATCGTATATCCCTATGATATTCCTAAATCTATATAATGTATAATATATATATATATATACGTATTAATTGTATCCTATTATATACCCATTAACCCCACTTTCCCAAGGAATTTCACTGTCCATCCCATTTGGTTTGCCCGGCTTTGGCGAAATCTTCAATGGCCTCAGCGCCCTTGCGGCAACTGCCACGTAAGAAGAGTGCCTGCCGAGGCGTTACAAAGAGCAACAAAGCTTTGTTGAGGTTCATGGGTATATAAGAGTTATAATATATATAATATATATATATAATATATATATAATATTATACATATATATATATACATATGTATATATATACACATGTGTGACTGCAACAGCAGTCCCACTGGCAGCTCCCAATAGATCTGTAGAGATCTCACCTGATGTATTCCTCAACCAAAGGTTCAACCAAAATCCCAGGTGTCCACACCTTATCACTCAACGTTTTGGGTTCCAACCCCACCAGCAAAACCACCAAATGGCGTCCGCGCTCTTTTCCCCTAGAGTTCCTCAAAAGTGGCCTTGAGCCAACAATTCATTGGCGGCCGCAAGTGATGGTGACTCTGCCACATGTGAAGACATGGAACAATCGAAGGACATGACACAGTTGGAAGACACTTCGGAAATCACACTGGTCAAACTTTTAAATTCGATTGTTTATCCATGTGACCCCGTATTTCCTATTGGCGTTTTGTTTCAAAGTCAGATCTTCGTCGTAGATCCTAAATTTCCCCAGGTTCAGAACAGTTCTGAGAAACGTAGCATCCATGGGCTTGGTCAAGCAGTCTGCCAACATAATTGCAGTGGAAACCCATCTACATACCGTATGATCCTGTGACTGTTGTTTTAAAAGCATGACCTCGATGGTCGTTCGCCATTCCTGGCAATTCGGCGTGGCGTTCTTTGTTACAAGGTCATATAAAGACTTGCAGTCAGTGATCATAAGTCCCGGGTGCTCTCTAAGCAAGGCTGTTTCGGGTGCATGCCATTTGAAGCTTGGATCCTTGATATAACCCCACATACATCTAATCCAAGTTAATTTGTCCAGGGACGTCGACATGGCATACGCCTCAGCGCTTAAAGTGGAACGTACAACTCTGCCTATCTGTTTTGAGTGCCATACTATAGGAGAAAACTCAGTGGTTTCATTCAAGGCAAGTTTGGGGGAACATGACATGATGAACAACCCTTGTTGAGCTGCAAGTTGTTTTGCAGACGCAAAACTGGCATCTCCGAAGCTGGCGAAACTCACATCGGCAAGCGGTATGGGGCGAACAGTCACTGAAGTTTCAGCATGTGACTGTGCCTCTCTCAAAACTCG